GAAAAGAACTTTGGTATTCTAGCCTGAGATCTATCTCTGAGGATCAAAACGGCTGTGCTGTCTGCTTATTAAATATTTTTTTTATTGTGAGGTGCAACCGTTTTTCAAGTAACCAACCGTCAATTTTTTTTTAACAGCGATCGATGTAGAATTTTGGTCAGTCCTTATCAACACGATAGTTTGTCTCTTCTTTTGTTACAAAAGCTAACACTCTCTCATGTTGAGATTTTCAACGAAGACTTTTATAACATCGGCTTGGAAGTTGGGCCGAATGGTCAGGTGGGGAATTCCCGCTGCTGCTTTTGCTTTCGCAATGCGTGACGCGTTTGGGCTATCAGCTAGCGTTATAGCAAATATCCGATGGATAGCAAATCAAGCAAATCGTATTTTACGTAAGTTTTAGTGTTCAGTACCGGATTTTACTTCTTCCTTTCATTTCTTTAAGAGCAAGATTGGCAATGATAAAAGTTAAACCTGAAAACATTGGATTTGTTTTATCAGCTTTTACTCTTCTTCAAGGATAATGTCAGATTGGAGAAGACATTCATATGCGAAAATTACATCATGTTTACCTTATTGAAAAAAAACAACAAAAAAAGAAAGATTTCGAATTTTTTACACTTTGCTTGATTTACTTATTGTATACGAGCAATTAATCCAATGTTTCCAATACAAGGACTGTAAGAAATGAACCTCAACGCGGTAATTTGAGACAATTTGAGAAATGAAATGAACGAATGTTAAAGGAGAGGGTCGATGTTATCAAAACACAGTATCACAAGCAATATCCTTGACGACAACTGATCTTTGCCGGTTTATGTCCCTTTTTTTCGCGTCGTCTTAAGGCGACTAAGAAAGGAATAAAGAATGTAAATACTTCCTCGAAAAATTATCCTGTCATCACTTAAAATTGCTTTAAAACTTTTCTTATTACCTGCCCCGTTAGAGTGTTATATGGAAATAAAGGGAATATGTTGTTAAATTTAGGAAATGAGGAGAGATATAGCCCGCGAATTGAATCCAGCTGAATTTGTCGAAGTCACACATCGAAACACCCAGCTTGTAAAGAGAAAATCTTGTTGAATGCATATTTTTATCAATACTACTTACAAGAGAAAAGCAAAGCGTGAAACGGAACAAACAAACAAGCAGGAATTAAAAAAGCTAGACTACTTGGTAAATGATGACTTCAAAAAAAACTATCACATTTAGTACGTTCACCTACCTAAGCCAAAATTACGGGAATGAGTTAGAGATTTGATTTTAGAGAGAAATTTCATCTACCTTTTCAAGTTCGCAGCGATTAAGACATAAATAAACTGCACAACACATCATTGTCGCCGAGCCTCAAAGACTAAACGGAGAGATTTTTTTTTCAAGGGGCGATCGAGTTACCTGTAAAATCGTTAAGCGAAAGTTGTAGATCCAAACCAGAATTTCGAACTTCGATTGTCTCGCAGCTAAAGAACTTTTTAAAAGGAGTTGGAATAATTTAAAAATCGACGAATTGTTTCAATATTGATTCAGGGAGACTTTCTTGTTTAGCTAAACGTCAACACTAACCTTTGTGTAAAAGCGCAAAAAAAACAAAAAACAATCAAATTGGCCTGTCAACTTTGAGATGCTAGAGTCACAGAGAGCATTAGGCATAATTATAATGGCTGCGTATAGGAACCACTTGAAATTTAAAACACGATTTTCAATTCCACCCTTCCTTTCTAGTGATTAACTGAACGAAACGTGAATCAAAAGTTACAACGCTAAAATGTGTTAAAAAATGTTTAAAGGTATAAAACAAGGTAACTAAGAGCCGCTCTCTACTTTAAAAAGTGAATTACAATACGACACATAATTTGGACTACTAAAATTTTCAACTCATCGAGAAACGCTCTGCGCATGCTCTACTTGTTCCCAGGTTCACGTTAGCTTCTTCGTTCGGATTGTGGGAGAAAATAATAACAAAAGTAAATATTTGAAAAAAGTTTGTGTTTAAATATGCGTGTTGAATAATTGAAACTGCAAATTGGTGCTGATAAATTGTTTCTGAAGCTGACGTTTCGAGCAAATAGCTCTTTTTCATCGTGGAGAATTTTTGAAGGAAGATCAAGTGGTTTTCGGGGGGATTTTGGTTTTCAGCCGTCGCCAACAGAAAATAAAGGGGGGGGGGGACTATACGGAAAATTGGCTGCCAATCAACTGTCAATAAAGGGGTGGGAAGTGATAGTAACATTGCAGAGCCTAATGGGAGGATCAGATAAATTCTAGCGTGACACAATCAAAATCCTCTGCCCTCCTATAAATAATGACCTGTCCCAAAATGAACTGCTGAGTTGCTAAGCACGGCAATCAAGTGATTTAACAATTTTTGATAACATAGGCCACAAGCCAAGGCAGAGTTGATGTAGATGGGAAAAGATATGGAAAGGGAATGGATTTTATTTTCTGATTTGCAAGAAGAAGGTAGCGTCTAATTGTAATTGAATCAGTCACAATTGCAAAGGTCTTCCCATTTTGCTCTAACAAAAGTGACGACAGATCAAGGTCATGACTCAAAAGCAAAAACTAAAGCAACAACAACAACAAAATAATTTGAAAAGAATACCCTTCTTATATATCTTGGTCTTTTTTATCATACTTGGCTGGGGTTCTCTTTGGATGATTGCGTTTACGGTTTCAGGTTGATGAGAGTTTTATTCTAATTTTTTTTGAAAAACAAAATTTAATCACTCTACCGTTAATTAGAAATCCCAACATGGGGTAAACATGAAGCAAAGTCTCACACAAGTTTTTTGTGATGAGGATTATCGATCCTCAACAAAAAATAATTGAGACTAAAATGAAATATTACAATGTTCTCGAAAAATTACTTTATAAAAATTCAGCTCAACTGACATATATTGAATGATCGCATAAAAGTTAAATTGATATTTGTTGCAAGCATAAAATTAGCACATGCTTGGACAAAGGAATATACGTGCTTTGAATCACATAGAGCCAAGAAGAGATATGTATCTAAGTTAAAAGAGAAAAGAAAAGAAGAAAAAAAAAACTGAATTTGACATGTTTGCTAATGTACGTTATGATTAATAAATAGCTGTTTACAGCTAAACAAAAAGTACTTTACTGAAGTAATAGAAATTCGCCATGCAATATTTCATTGAAGTTTGAAAAATCACCTAGAGATTTATGAAGAATGTATTTCTTAATGATCCTTGTTTATTACCATGTATGCTATTCTTTGAGCTTAACGCGTAGCTGGTAAGCTGACAATCCATAGAAAAATATGCGATCTGTCCCTACAATAAATTATTCATGTGTGTATAATCTTGAAATATTTTTTATATACTACACCAACAACATAGAATATTGATGTTTTTTTACGTTTTATGCTTACAAATTTGAAGTCAAGCTAGACTGCTATTGGGAAAAAAACAAGATCGAGTTACTCTTTAGATAACTTTGGTTTGTAAACCAAGAGAATTAACGAAAGCTTATCGTTAAACATAATCGGTACTGCGAGAGACTATCTGTGGGAAAGAGTAGGAAAATACAATTTACACAAGCTCATAGGACAGCTATAAAAAATTAGCAGAATAACTTGCCTGAGGCCTGAGAAATACGTCGCCAAAAGGTGAAAACAGCCTTTAACAATACAGCGGGTCTTCCAGAATGAGCTTTTACCAGGATAAGTGTTCTCTTAAGAACCCACGCAAAACGTTCTGACGTGTGATTGGGCAAAGGTCTATAATGTTTGTCATGCAAGCCCGAGGGCTCTTGTATCGTTCAAAATGATCTGTCAAAGCCAGGTGAAAGAAAACAATACTGTTTAAAACTGAAAAATTATCTTGCGGCTTTGTGGCTTAGCATTACAAGGGAATTATTATCAGTAGTTTAGAATTGAATGTCAAATCGAAAGATACGTTTATGAGGATAAAATTTCGTTCTGATAGGCATGATATTGAATCTTAAGGCAGTAATAAAAAGAACAGACAGCAACAAAAGAAAAAAAACTATAAATGAGGGTACAAACGGCATTATTTGCATCGCATGCTATGGTAAATCTAAGATATTAAGTATGGAATGACAATTCCAAAAAGTACTTGATTCATGACAGTTAGAAACATCATATCAAAGTGCACAAAAGTCATGAGAGAACTAATGCTTAGCGAAAATTTTCGTTCTTCTTTATTATTTGTTAGTAAATACCCAAAACGTGTTCCTGACGAGGAGAAGCTTTCCTTTC